ACTGCTAACCTTCACAATCCTATTAAGTGAACAATCATCGTTGACAATTCATCATAGGTTCAATAACTAATCTCAAACGCAACAATGGATATTATATTATACAATCATCTTCCCATGAACTTATTCAGAAGGCACAACTGCATTTTGCGTCATTAGCTTTAAACTTTCGGTTGGAAATAATCATACATTATTCACCCTGCCATTCATAACCTTTGATAGTCGAGACGCAATAAACGAGCTGTGAAAATATAATTAAAATAACTAGAGTACTGAATTTAATAAAATACTTGCAATGGTGGCAGCAAAATCACAATGATTAGCTTCAAAGAGTAACTTCAATGAACGTTTAATGAGTGACATTGTAATTATTCCATATATCGGAATGATAGAATAAGAAGATGAATAAGGTAAATTCAGAAACCGATTTATCTGATTAGGGAACGGAATAAGACGGTTGCAGAGTTAATTTGAATGAAGAAAGTTCAACCTTGATAGAACGGAATTTTCAGCTGTTTAAGTGAGAAGCTGGGAGTTTGATGAAAGTTGATGAGATATGCGTAGTGTTAAGTTGTTTGATCAGAATGGTGGATATTTGATGCTTACGAAATGTGTTTAATAGCTCGGTGATAAAACAAATAATGTGAGACTATACAGAGTGTATTTTGAAGATAACGTAAATCAATCACAACATCAAATCAAGACTAATCTATCAAATCTTCTTAATCAACGCTTATTATCGTTTTTACATTCCGCATTTCAGTCATACACTATTTATCATCAATCACTTCAAATCACTAAAACGCAAACAAAATACGCTCTTTAAAAGAGATTATGATCATCCTCTCAACAGCAGTTGATTTCATCAGCTTAGTTTGGTCCAGACAATCTGCAGTGATGCTGGTGTGATTCAAGCAAGTAATAATATATGCGATTAGGCTTTTTCTATTAAAGACACCAAATGATAAATTGGAATGAAGTTCACTGATCCAACTGTTCTCTAATAGGGCACTAGTGCTGTTTTGAGAACTTTTTTAAAAAATGAAATTCAATCCATACATGCTGTTATGAATTACTGGAAAGATTATAAAATTTAATGATTCTCCGATCATCTTAGCCCTTGCTAGCTGGCTCAAGTTCTCGAACGGAAATTATTTATTCCATAACTAATCAGCCGAACATCGGTACTGAATATCAGCCGTATTAAATCATAGTTTCTACGACAAAATTATTGCGTGACTCGTTGTCTCTGGAAACCCCATAAAACGTACAACTAGAAGGTATTCAGTAAGAAGTGTGAATGATTTTACTTCATTATAACGAAAGGAGAAAACATAGTTGTTGGTTGTATGTGCAATACATAATCTCAATACGTAAGGATTCTTATGATGTACAAATGATTGACTTGTGTCCGAAAGAAAAAAAGTAATCTTGAGTGACACTGAACTGAAGAAATTCATTTTAAACCTTTTTATCTCCATGTCACGGTCTAACAGCAACTCAATTCTTTCATAATGAAATCATTATGACAAGGCAATAATCACTGAATAACCACAAACCTTCGCAATTTTCTAAAAGGTATTCTTTCGGAGTAAAAATCGAGATGCTCGATTGCATGAGTACTCAAGCATTTGCGGAAGGCTTCCGAAACGAACAATGATGAGATTCATTAATGGAACATTTACTCGATAGAAACACCGCTGATAGCATAATATCACTAGTAATATCCTGTCATAATTTCTTGAAATTCTAAATTTCAAAATTCATAAATTGAGTAATATGATTGATGTTGAATAATGCTAAAAATGCTCATTATTAATCTCACAGTCAGTAAAGTATTTTACGCTAATTTATTAACTATTATTGTTGCGTCTAAGGGTGTTTGAGGATCTTCGGCAAGGATAATGGGGAATTTTGTGCTGGATGTAGTCATTGATAAGGTTTCATCAGGAAACCCATTAGTGGAATGAAAATCAACTGAATCAACTGTTGATTCTCATTCCGCTAATGGCCTTCCTGGCCAGATTATAGTGGTTAACTCTACAAAGTGCTCAAGTCTAACTATGAGATATCCTTTCACAGCATTGCGCCGTAAATCACCACAGGAAGCGACTCTCATTCTAGGTAAATATCTCATTCTTAGTTTTCGATCATGATTTGGCTCGGAACAGTCCGCCATAAAAATCGCTCACATCTCATGTCATCAATAATAGTTTGTGCTTCGAAAAACTGCCGGAACAGAGAAGAACAGTACATTTGAAGGGCAGAACAGGAAGGAACAGTTTACTCAAAGTGTTTTTTAGAAGCACCATTAGTCCCAACGAAACAGTCATCCGTTAGCTCGATACACCCAATAGGATGCCAAAAAAGTTCGTGACGAATAATTTGTTGTGCTAATTGATTATGCCGATGTAGGCTGGAACGTTCATTATGCTTGTCTTTGACATCATTATGGAACATCAGCTTATGAAGCNGTCGTGGACCTAAACAGTTGCTGAAATCATAGGGTGCCTTCAAAAAAGAACATTGTTTCGATTGCGAGTCTCGTGATTTTTTCGGTTCAAATGACGAAATTTTTGAAAATTATTCCATCTACTGTTCCTCCTTTCTGTCATTTGAGAGCCACTTTTATATTATTCCTCCCTTCAGCACTCATTTGTTAGTTTGTTTCTTCGGTTCAATAATAGTTCATTTCATCATATTCACGTGAGAAACATCCATATCATGAGTCGAAAATAGAAATTAAGACTGGTCAAATGGTCAAGAGAGGGAAGTAAAATCGGAGGTGATGACAGAATGATGTTCTAGGTAGGTTATACAACCAAGAATTTGATGAAATTGATTAGGCGGATACGAAACGTTTTCGGAGATTGGAATTCAGATATGCACTTGATAAGATCAGAATGAGTCAGCCTTATCTGAGGGCATATGAAGTGCACTGACACTGCCACTGTCTGCGATTGTTTCGTATGACGGCAACATATTCTCGCATTTCAAACATTCTAAAATCGCTACTTCTAGATGATCGTACTCAGTTGCTGTCCCCTAAACGACTTCTTGTTTTACAGTTTCTTTGGGTACTTCCTTATTTAGCCGTAAGTGTTCCTTATTGCTTCTCTAATTACCGCTTTTTGCTCAAATTTCACTTCACCATATTACTGTTATTGTGATGATCTTTACTCTTTTTATACTACGCAACAAAGGTCACTGCTTGTTTACATGACAGTCATTCGAGAGTCAGGACAGAATTGCTGCTTTGAAATTTATGGAGCTTTCTAACTTGGGATTTCCATCTACCACACAAGCAATCAACAAACAGATCTGATAGAGTATCAAAACTTTCAATTTCAGTTTGCGAATTATTTGGAGCGAAGTTTGCTGGCATTTCGACTGCTGTGCTATACTCAGAATGACCATTTAGAGTTACCACATCCAAATGAATACAATATCAATGAATGCAACAGAAAATATTTTGGTTCAAAATATTCATCTAACAGCAGTTGCCGTTTCAATCAACCACCAATCGTATTGAATAAACCAAATATTTCATCTTCGCTTCAAGCACTTATTGTCATTCGAAGTGCACCGAACTCCCATGATTACCGCCAATACATACGTGATACATGGAAACGCACTTTAGAACCTGAAATACCTGTGGTTTTCGTCACTGGAACTATCAAAAACAACAATTTGAGTAGAGAAGCAAAGGATTATGGCGATATTTTACAGCTCGATTTTGTTGATTCATATCAGAATCTAAGCCTTAAAATGGTCTGGATTTACAAATATTTTTTAACGGAATTGCCAACACTACAACATATCATTGCAGTCAACGACGATACCGTTGTCAACAGAACAGCCTTGAAATCAGTATGTTTCAGTTCGAAGATTCATTTCATATCTCATACATCGCTTTCTTTTCATCTGATCAAACCTAGGAGAATTTGCAGCAATGCTGTACATGAACTGATCGTTCCTCATTCCTCATTCACCTCCTCTCTTTAAATTTAGATTGTTAATTGTCTTTGATTCTTCATAATATTTATCCAGAGTTTTTTTGATGGATACATTGTTGTTAAGGTCATGAAGGAACCAGGAATGTGGATGACAGGCAAGGTGTCACGTGGTTATCCGAGGCTTATTTTCAATTGGCTTCCCTGGTACGTCCCATCCGATTTGTACCCAAACTTGTGTTATCCACCCTTCATACAGGTTATTACTTTTTTGGCTTGTTTAGCTTATTATTTTTCCTAAAGGAATGGTTTAACGAATGAATTTCATTCAAAATCTGTTTGGAAATTCAAAGTCAGTTTGTAAACCTCACTGAACTTGTTCTTAAACAATTATTCTCGCACGATAAGACGAAAATCAATTAATGGTGGAATTTATAGGCTAAAATCTGCATATTAACAACAAATTCACAGACTCACTTTTAACTTTCACCGCTTTTACCTTAGCTGCATTAGTCGCCATGGAAATATACAGCACTCATCGCTGGGATAATTGAATTTGCGATAATTAAACTAAAGTAATAACATAATTTGAACGGTGTGAATATGATAATTCTAGCACGTTTTCAAACAGCGCTGTCGTATGTAATAACCCTTCAGCGCACTTCAGGGCTCCAGCTTCGTCATTACACGACAGGCAGCACTACGCATCGTTGACAATATCTGCTTGTTGCCGGATTTTCCACTCGACGATGTCTTTATGGGTTTATTGGCAAAATGTCTTGGAATTGGTTTGAAACATATCGATGGATTTGATCGTCATATCGCAGATCGATTCATTGTTTTTCACTATCAGTGGTCACGCTATTCTCCGCAAGAAATGAGATTGATTTGGAATAGTGTCCACAAAAACCTTTAAGGAATTTCTTGAACAATTATGATCTTTCGTTGAAACATTTCGAACGATATCTGCCAATTCTTCAATGGAATAAATCAGTATCACTGTAAATGGTTAATTCATTGCTACGCATCATAATTTCAGACATATTCCAATTTAAGCTTGAATGACATGTGCCAATTAGATTTCGAAAGATAATTTGGATGTTGGTGAGCAATTTAGCAGTCAAACAGCTTTTCGGGGCGGCTTCAAATGAAGACATCATGGAAAATATGCATGCTACCGAAAAAATTGTCAGCAACTTGTGGAGCTTTTACGACATAAGGGTTTATTTTAACCATTGCATCACACGTAGAAACTCATTTTATGTCAGTGACGGACACACTACTGAGGAAGCAGACTTCGCTAACTGTTAATTCCTTGAGAAATATTTTTGTTCAGCTAAAAAATTCGCTTTTAGCACCACTGACGAAACATTAGCGAAAATCGTTCGCTCAATTGTCGCGGATTGAAGAAAATAAGCAATTTTCATTGAAACCGTGCTCATAATCAGCGAAATTAGTCCTCTAATCACTACTCTCAATACTTCTGCAGAATTTCCAACTGGCAAGAAAACGCTGTTCAACAGCCTCATCACGCCATTCAAGAATCAAAAATTTTTTCTATGGCAAATGAGTACGATAATTGCCGGGTTTTTCAGCATCACAACTAACACCTTGAAGCCTCATTAAATGTTACATGGACAGTGTGATGACCGATTCAGAGCACTAGACAAGAAATAACCTCGTAAAATGTAAAGGTTCGAAGATCAAGNACGAATTTAATCACTGCATGAAAATATATGTGCTGAAGAGCTTGAATATTCAGAAAAACAAAACTACGTCGTGAACATAAAAATCAACTTGAACAAATAATCGATAAAATCAACGGCAATGATACAATAATCGTTAAGCATGCGTTCTTTTCGTGGGTATGCTCGAGTAGAGTGAATCAGGAAACATCATCGCCACTGCATTGTCGATACGCTTACAGAAGCCGTTCAGGCTGAATTGAAAATCGAAACGTTTTCTCTGAAACATTCATCCATTAGGTTGATTGTAAACCAGTTGCAAAATTTACCGTTTGCATTTTAATTTCAACAAGATATCATGATCAATTGCTCTAACTACCTGAAGTTCGTAACTCTCATCATCGTCAAGACATGGCCATGATATTTGAAACATGTGTTTTTCCATTGCGTCCGCAAGAAGATTGCCATCGGGAAATTCGATCTGAATTCGACATTCAGTCACAACCAGAAGTACGTCAATAATGCAATATTATTTTCGACATATCGCGAATTCATCAACATGGTACTTTCATGTTGAATAAACTGATTAGTTGAGAGTTCTGTGGGGTCAACAAGCGGTCCGTGTAGATAGAAGTTGTGGATGACAGAAAATTTAAAACGACGGTCTGAACAGGATTCTTTTAGACATGAAGCACGAAAAACAGTTCGAATGCGATCAAAAAAATTATTCAATGAAATTTACACGAAAATGAGTGCGCAAATGACGCGACAAAGCTTGCTTGGTCACTTAATTAATTGGTATTCGAAATTTTTAACAATTGCACTGAGAAGCGCTATAATTATATGGATCATTGACCCTTTACATGTCCCCGCTTATGACTACTGCCATACCGCGCAGCTATTGCATGCGTTTTTGCTCGCAGACAAAAAATTTAATTCATGACCTTAAATTTATTACACGACCACTGCTGTCGCATTATTTATTGTTTTAGCTGTCCAGTTCATCAAGATAAAATGTAAAAAACGCAGGCCAATGCAACGAATCAGTCAATATTATTTTCTCTATCCAATTCGTCATTGATGATACCCTGATTTCCTTACACAAGCTTTTCTGTATTCATGCAATCTCATAGTTTATCGCTCATATATTTTCACCAGTCTGATTTTGCCACTGTAGCATGTTGTGTCATTAGATTCATCTTCAAAAAATTGATGAGTGAATGGGACAGGAAGTAAGTGGACAATAAGCAAGCATGCAAACAATCTCAGAGTTCCAATAGCATAGATGTTTACCTGATGGATACGAAATGGCAACTGGATAAAATTATGAAAACAAATTGAAGCAACATCATTCAAAATCTACCTTTGATCCTGTGATACCCTCAAGAACAGTCTCAGCTGGACCACCGCTATTACAAACGATAACAGGTCGTCTCTGCTCGAGCGCTTCGATTGGAACTATTCCGAAATGTTCATTTGGCGGTGTGTATAATACGGTGTCAGAAAGTCGGTATAATTCATATTTTTGTGATTCAGTCGGTGAGTCAACAAATTCGACCATATCCGATACCTGAGGATAAAATGAACCCTTTATTAATATATGAGCACAGAAGCACTTGACATGTGTAAGAGAATATTTAGCGAGAATGATTGTTCTCAAATGTTGTATTGATGATCAAAATTGTTTAGCTCGCTGATATGCAATCAGTTTCCTGTTGTGCTTGTGGTTAAAATTATTCCACGGAACTTACTTCATACCAGGGGTTGTCATAAAACGATGAACTGAAACATCATTTACAGAAAGGAAATTACTACTAACGTTCAAATTTTCGACCATTTTTTTTAGCAGAGCATGATAGATGCGTGATTCGGGTATGTGCGGCATTACCGAACCAGCAAGTAGCACTCGTGGATACAGGTTACGGCGCTTCAAAAGTGCTGAAAGTAGACGTTGGAATGGGACAGAATGCTTGTTCAGATTTTTGTGATTGTCATCAAATAACTCTTTGTAGTGATCGGTGAAATAATCCTTTTTGGACCGTTGAAATGCTTCTGGAGAACAGCATTCGCCGAAATGACTTTAACCATACGGCGTAAGAGAATTTCGGTTAAGAAATATGCACATTTCTGATGAGAATTGACTCGTAATCAAGTAATTTTTGCAACCATTCACCGTATGACAGCAATGGGAATAATATTAAATTGATTATCAAAAATCATCAGCTTGATGACTTACCTGCTGCCTCAACGATTATATCGAGTCGTTTCTCAGGCCAAAAACGATTCATTGAAACAAATACATATGGTTTATTGGGCGGTCTTTGACATCGACTTATCGGCTTAATACCGATGCGTAGTGAATCAACATCACATGGAGGATAAACCACCATCACTTTCGATGGATTTGTGTTTGGCATCACACGCAAAAATTGCTTTTCTGTAAATACTGCTAATTGAAAACAGTTGAAAATTACATCTTAATTATTACTAGGAACCCATTCAGGATTGCTGATCAAGAGTATATCATCACTACGGTCAATTTCACTTTTCAGATTCATATCGCTCTTCATGATTCGTAGGTTCGAACGATCACTGTATTAGCGATCTCGGTAAAATTTCAGGTTTTGGCAGTTTATCTTAAACTTCATTAATTGCATCCGTTTAGTGGTTATATCATCGTTAAAGCTAAGCAATGGCTGAGCTTCCATGAATAGGACATTACGAAGCCATCATAAAAATTTTCTCATTGGTGTATCAACAGCAATAGTAGTTCAAAGTAAAAGCAGTCTTCGAAAGTGATACCTGTGAAATGACTATTAACCATAATAATATCAACATTTTTGAACATAGTCTCTTCAATTATACCAATCAATTTCGAATACCACCTATAGAGGAATAATCGGGATGGTGTAACCAGTTGTTGTGGAAAATGACAGTAGAAAAGTATTTTAACGTTTGGAAACCTCCATTTGATCATAGGTACGCAACTGCAAAACGATAGAATTGGTGAATGATTGTGATTGAAAGTTGTGCGACATGAATTGACAAGCGAAACATTTAGCGAGAGGTGCTTGGCTCACGTACGGTTTTCATCGAAAGATTGTGTTTGAATGTTCCATTATGAAAGCAACATTGGCTTAGAATGCCACAATAAAGATTGACCAATACAGTGATTTCAATAGGTTTCACTTGTGGTTGATCATATCTAATCTTTGCCTTCATTTCCTTGACAGTTAGTGATAATCGTCAAAGATTTCTGTGAATTCAGAAGAACACAAGATCACATATTGTACCTAGCACTATGATCGATTACAACAAGATCCGGATTGAGATCCGAGTAAATCAACTGCCATCCGATAGCAACATTCTGACTGAACCAATCACCTGGATGTAGATCCATGTTCATATCCCGAATCTCTGTAACGTTGAGTCATTACTCCAGTTTGCAATAATTTTGTTGTTGGCAACATCAAAAAGTAGCAATTCATTTTTCATATCAAGATGTGCCATTGAATGCTCGATCTGTCAATGATCTATTGCCGTTGTGCATACATAATCTTACCAAGTTGATGTATTTATGATCACCTCTTGCGCTACTCATATTGGATGAGAGAAACACATCGATCGCTTATCGTACTAAGTAATCAGTGACACTTCATATATAGATCAGTGCGTACAACGTGTTGTCTGTTTTTATGATCGAAATTATTTTATCATTAACACAGGCATCTGTATGCATACATATCTGTTCACTGATCAGGAGCTGACAGGAATTTTGCGAATCTAACGGGAACGATGCAAGGCATTACTACATATACGATTAAATTTCAACGAACTGACTACATATTGTCCGATTGCGTGTAAATTTACAATGTTTTAGAACGCAATAGGCAATCCTTTCCTTTCCCAGAAATTTCGATCCGTCACGAAACGGTTAGAGTGAAATCGAAAGATTCATTAATGAACAAATTTTGTGTAAATTCCACAATGGCTCGTTTTAAAGGTGAATAAGAGAATGCGATGATCTACTAGTGATACATCCGTCATTCAACACTGTTCATTACTGCTATGCCAGGATGTAATGACTATCGATAGATGCAATTGAATTGATGGATTTTATTCGGAAATTTGTTTCATCGAGGAATTAAGGAGATAGATGAGCAGTTCCTGAAAGCTTATAATAATCAAAGGATATTCACAAGAGATACGTTCTTCATAGATCATGAATGCGCGTTTAATGATAGCGCAGATGCTTTTATGCCTTCTCGCCACGCTACATCCAAAAATTTTTGGTCACATTACATTTTTGGTTTTTGGTCACATT